GTGTAGTGGAGGACAAATCCATAGCTAGCTTTGTTACCTGGAAAATCCAGTCGGATTTTCAAGTTCCAGAATCACAGAACCATTTCTACATTTCTTTAAAGTACTGCTGCAGTGTGCTGAAGATTTTCATTTGTACATCTGTCTTTCATTAGGGAAGGATTTCAGAAATTCAACCAACAGTGTCATCAGCAAAGTCTGCTGCCTGATAAATCTCTTCTGGTGTTTATTCTTTTATTGCACCAAACAGGATATGTGAAAGCTTCACCCACCATCCCCTTACACCCACCTCCTTATTTGTTCCTTCAAAAAGACAAAAGCAGTTTGCCTTAGGCCCCTCACATTGTAAATTATTTGATAAGTAAGTCTAGTATTTGGTTGGGGTAGCGGTTGAGGTCCAAAGGCATAATAAAAAGTTCATTCTCAGTGATACTGGCTTTTCTATGGAGCTGGGTAAAGCAGTTTGTTTCTCCAGTGGTGACATTATAGGTTATGAAAATAATCAAATTGTTACCCAGTTCGAATGTTTAAAATATTAGCCAGGAGTTTGTGATAGGTTTTGATGGTTCTGACACCTGAAAGGTACTTAGCTACTTCCTTAAAGCACTGTACAGAGTGGAGTGTAGTCATTCAGCTGTGAAAACAAACTAAGAAATTAGATTTAATTACTCTTAAGCACTGCAGATTGTTTAGCTAATGCTGAACTTATTATTTTTAGTCCAATATGGAGGAAGGCATTTTATTTTTCTCCTTCTAGTACTGCCCTATTTTAGATTGGTTTCATTTGAGGCATAGATCTTAAGTTCATGCTCATTTCGGGGATTACGTTTTCTTTAAGCCAGAGCTTTGTGTTTAGGGGACTGTGTCTTTTTTACCCTTAAAGGTAGTATGAACGTCTGCTCACTTCAGTATATAGTTCTGACCTTTCCTGGTAGGCATATACAGGGAATGTTTTCACATGCTCATAGTTCCGGAATTAGAAAGTTCAGAAGATGGAACAATGAGTTTTGCTTTAGTTTGTATATCACGTAAATACTTTAAGGGAGATTTATCTTTAAAGCTAATCACAAGTGAAAAGAAATTACCATGCATGTAGCACAAATGACATAGAGACACATTCTGGAACCACATCGAGTGTGTGTCTAAACTGTTATAATGACTTGGTTTCTCGGGAATGACTTAAAATAACTGTAGTTTATTGTAAGATAAACATGGTCAGCTTGCAACTAATGTTAAGGTATCCTTATTTAAAAATAATGTGTCCTTACTTAAAAAAATAAAGTAAGTAAAAACCCCCAACACAACCGAAGCAAACAACAAAACACTGTGAAACTAACAACATTGTTTAAGCTGTCTTCGGAAGTTCTGCATCCTAGGAGATAGTAACAAAGCAGGATTTCTGTGCATTATTCCTTCTTAAAGACCAGGAGTAAAGAGGTGTTATTAATCCTCAGCTTTGAGTTGTTGCTGAAGTGATCTACAGTGTGTGCCATTGCAGGGGTTCCTAAATGTTAGGCTTGTAAGACTACTGATAAAGATTTCCTGGTCACCTGGTTTAGTTTCCCTTGAGGGTGGCTTGTGCAAAATTGCTTTAAATAGAAGGTTTGCAAAGAAGGGAATAGCTGTTCAGAACCACAAGGCAAACTGGGAACACCCCCACCCCTTTTTAATAGCCAGTTCTGAATGTTCCTGTGGTGAAAGCCTGCTGGAGGTGAGTTTTGGTTGGCCAGGAGAGCTTTCTGGTAGACCTTGTTACATAACAGACAATAGTCTGAAATTTTAAAATACATTAAAACTGTGCTTGCTTCCATATTTTTTGGTCTTTGATGCTGAAAAACCAATTTATTGACATTCTACTGGAAAACATTCTGAATTGTAACCTTTCTTATTTATCCAATAAATTTAGGGTATTCGCATGTGTTCCACACAGAGATATTCTTCTCGTGGTTTAGGTAAAATACAGCTTTTATCCTGTGGTGCTTGGAAATGCCATACTCAAAAGCTATAAAAATATCCACTTAGGGTGTACAAGAAACAACACAAGAGGACATCTCTGCAACCCGCTTCGTTTACTTTTCCTGGTCAGAAGTTAGATTTACAAAATCTCTTAGACTTGCTAGTAAAAATACTTGTTTATCTGTGCCAATTAGTTACAGGCGAACTCCCACATTCCTGTGGTCCAGACTAGGCCAGGTACAAGGGACAAGGTCCTTGCCAAGCTGCCAGTACAAACATCTTTTTGTAAGCTTACTCTTTCTCAGACAGGCCATTTCAAACAGACTATGGTATTGACTGTAGATTAGAGGCATGGTGTTTGGCAGATCCCTGAATTTTAAAATGGAGGAAGGCAAAACACGCAAAGGAAATATGGAAATGGTATCTGAGAAATTCAGTGTCAGCAGCTTAGTAGTAAAATCATATGGATAATACCTTATTATACAGTGCCGTAACCTTTTACATACTTTGTAGAGTAGTACTAACAGAAATAACAAGCCCTAAAAACAACTGAGAGTTGCCAAGAAAGACAGAAGCATATGTCTTTGGTCAGGATAAAATCTCTCTGAATTTATTTTTTACCGCGCCTGGATGTTTTTAGTGTAATCACAGTAATGATCATAGTAAATTGAAAGTAGTTTAGTTACAAAGACTTAACCTCTAAGAAACATCTGAAGAAAAGAGGGGATGTTTGACTTGAATATCTGCAAACAGCTGTGTTTGTTTATAGCCGGCAGAATCAACTTAAAGATCAGCAGCACCAGCAGCAGCAGCAGGTAGTGTCCCTGTGTCAGCTCCCAGATGAGGCAGAGTGTCTGACTGTGCCGAAGTACAAGCGAGACCTAGTGCAGAAGCTCAAGATTCTGAGGCAGGAGCTGTCACAGCAGCAACCTCAAGCTGGCCATTGTCGTATCGAGGTCTCCAGGGAAGAGATTTTTGAGGTAATTTGAGAATTTGACCCGTTTCTTAACTTCGAGGGGATGGGGAGGGTTGTTCATAACCATCTAAAGAAGTCATTCAGTTAGATGAAATCTTGATGTCTGGAATAAAAGCTGGAGTTTTACCAGTGGCGAATGGGAAGAGGAAATATTTCAAGGGGATGTTAAGAACGGTCGTGTGCTTGAAGTAGATGTATTTACCCTGTAGATAAGAATCAAACTGAGGAAAGCTTTCCCTGTGGCTGGAAACGTACAGACTGTGTCAGGACTGAGGAATGAGTTCAAGCGCTTCGTGTATTTGAAGATACTGTCTCGCTTCTTCCTTGAACAGAACACTCATGTCTGTTACAGAGGGACTCTTACAAATGGAAACCCAAACAATTATTAGTGATCTTTGATCTATTGTAATTTAAGAAAAATTACTGTTGAATAGCAGGCATCTTTGGAGTTTGGATTACTTGGCATCTATCTCAATTCCAGTTGATTGTTTTAAATTAATCCCCCCCAAATCAGACCGGTTTTATGAATTTTCTAGGCTTCTGAATGCCAAGGATGGCCACAGTGGGATATCTGCATTTTATTTGGTGTGTCATTATTCAGTAGTATAATTCTGCTGAATTGATTGAACACAGTTATAACACACTGGCTTTTTCTGGAGAACAGTTTGTCCTCTTGAGAACTTTATCACCTATCCCACCCATCCCTGTTGCATTTTCACCCCACCCACAAATTGGATAGCCCTGCTGTGTTGTCACAGTTTTTCCAGCCAAGAAAGATATGTGTTGGTCTTCCCTTTGGAGACAGTCAATTCAGTTCATAATCAACTAAAGAAAGAGAGGAAAGGCTGCTGTACAGCAGTGAAAATCATTATGTTCTTGTTCTGAAAACTAAATGGAGTACGTTGGGTCCCCGGCACACCTACCTCTTCCGTTCTGCAAAGCCAGAGATCGGGGCACCAACACGAAGCATAAATGAAAACTAGACATTTTTAGTTAATTCCATTTTGGAAATTAGCATTTGTTTTGCTTCTTTCAGCTTTCTATTTATGTTTTGGTGAAGCTTTACTGATGGAGGAATAATTCTGCAGACTTACTGGGATGGCATTGATGCCTCTGTTCTAAAAATGCTGCTTGAAGGTTTGCGCATGGGTTATACGCAGAGTAGAAGTCCCACTTCTGGCTTTTCAGACTGCAAAATAAAAGTTTACTGACCCAGATTTTAACTTTTTGACAGTTAATGTGAGAATGAGAGAGAGAATGTTCTGATCACTGTGCACCTCTGGAAATTTAGCAGGAGGTGGTTCTACTCATCTATCAGTTTTATTTGACAAGGTTTATCACAGTTGTAGAAAACTAAATAGCAGTCTGTGATCTGAGAAACTGGTTAGTATGTAGGAAAATAGTATCCCCTTCAACAGCATTTGACTCGGAGTCTGAGACTCCATTTCTAATAAACAGTAGCAGTTTCTTGTCTGTAAATAGCAGTTAATAAAACAAAGTGTTACGTGTTTACAGGAATCCTACAGGCAAGTCATGAAGATGAGGCCAAAAGACCTGTGGAAGCGATTAATGATAAAGTTTCGTGGGGAGGAAGGCCTTGATTATGGAGGTGTCGCCAGGTAAACAGTTAGTCCTCTATTTCTTCCGCTGCACCCCAACCCTACCAACTACACACTATGCTTTGAATCCTAAGCCAGCTTTGTATCAGCAAGTAAAAATAATTCTGATTTCAGTCTTATCTCAGAATGTTCAGAGAGAACTTCCTCCACATTGATGTTTAACAGTAAGATTAAAAAAATCTCATGGTTTTGAAAAGACTCTCAGTGCAAGAATGCGTTTGTTTGAAGTACACAATGAATTGTTTTGTTTTCTTCAGGGAGTGGCTCTACCTATTGTCACATGAAATGTTGAATCCATATTACGGTCTCTTCCAATATTCCCGAGATGATATCTACACGCTGCAAATCAACCCGGACTCTGCAGTCAACCCGGTATGACTGGTGACATGAGTTCTGTAATGATCATTTTATGACTAGAAATGAAATACATCTGGAGAGTGTTCTAGGCTTAGGAACCCAGTTCTCACATTAGTATTGCTGGAGACTGATTTTGTGCAATAATATGATAATTTCTATTTAATACTGATCAAAGAAACTTCTGAAATGTGTTCTTAATCTTCTGTAAGATGTCAGTTTATGTTTCCTGTGGGAGAAATTACATTTATTTTGATTCTTTTTCTTTGATTCTGGACTGGAAGCAATATACTCAATGTGTCGTGCAGAAAACCAAACAAACCAAAAAGCTCTGGATATGTTTTCTTGGTTGGTTGTTTTTTCCTTCTCTTTTTTGTCTTGTCTTTTTCTATTGAAATTCTATTTCATATTCAGCAGCTATAACCTGGAGGTCTTATTTAGCTGAATGGCTCAGTCTCTTCTTCCTGTTCTAGGAACATTTATCCTATTTCCATTTTGTCGGACGGATCATGGGGATGGCTGTGTTTCATGGACACTATATCGATGGGGGTTTCACGTTGCCTTTCTATAAGCAGTTGCTAGGGAAGCCAATTACTTTGGATGACATGGAATTGGTCGACCCTGATCTTCATAACAGCTTAGTCTGGATACTGTACGTACTATCTGTTGCGTCCTACAGTGTTAGAATTGTGTCTTGGTTAGCATTTGATAATGTTCCTAACTCTAGGTGAAAAGAAATTGAGTGTTTTCTCATCTTCTGCTCAGGAAGATACAAGAAGTATGTTTCTTGTACGATTCAACTTCTTTAAGGTTTAACATGCTCAAGGTTTTTGGGGGGCAGAGGGGAGTTAATAAATTTTGATCTGTTAATTTTGCCTATTATTACCAGTAAAACATTATTAAAATATTAATTTGAAACTTTGACACTGGTTTTAAAAATAAAACCTATTAAAAATGTATTTTCACCTTTTGCTTCCAAGCAGTAATTTGAAATGCTGTTGAAAAAACTGAGTTGTGATGTCTGACAGGTAAATTCTGGCTGTAATATGTTTGCAGAATATGTTTTCACTGAGTCACTTGCTTATTCCTTTCCACCAGTGAGAATGATATCACAGGAGTCTTGGACCACACGTTTTGTGTAGAACACAATGCATATGGGGAAATTATTCAGCATGAACTGAAACCCAATGGCAAAAGCATCCCTGTGACAGAGGACAACAAAAAGGAATATGTCAGGTACGTTCATGTCTTTCCCAAAGTTTTTTGTATTTTCTCTGTTTTGAACTTTTACTTACTTGAAGTAATTGACACCCAATTGACAGTTGGGTGTTTCCTAAGTGGTGGTGGGTGTATTCCTGTCAGCAAGGCCATTTTTGGGGGCTGGATAAATTGTTGGCTTGATTGTGTTTGAGCACATCTTTCACAAAACCACTTTGCACTTGCTTGCAGACTTTATGTAAACTGGCGTTTTTTACGAGGAATTGAAGCTCAGTTTCTGGCTCTACAGAAGGGATTTAATGAAGTAATCCCACAACATCTGCTGAAGACATTCGATGAGAAGGAGTTAGAGGTCAGTCCACTAATGTTACGTTATGTCGTCAAGTGTAACAATAAAAGCCTGAGGCATTCTTTAGAGACTGAGTAACATGCAGAGTTGTGTCCCCAGTGCTTTAGGGGGCTGCAGGTGCACTGTTGCAAGACATAAAATTAGCATAAGAGGTTACCAGGTCAGGCCATCACTGAGCCTGCGTGTGCCTTCTACTGAGAGCTGCGAGAGTGTTCCTCAAGGTGACATTTCTTAGCAACTGCAGAAGTGATCGGAGAGGAGACCTCTCCCGGCCCTGAAACCCAGTTGAACCCCCAGAGAAGTGTCTGCAGAGGCTGCGGATGGTTTCAGAGACTGCTGCTCCAGCAGAGGTGGTGGATGTGTTTCTCACAGCGCTGCTTCATGACACTAAATTCAGTGCTGCCAGGAAAATAGTCTGTCAGTCCCTTCCACCTCCCACCGCTCGCTCCCAGCCCTTCCAGTGCTCTGCACTGCCTTTGGTGTCAGGCAGCTCTGCGGTTTTGCAGAGCTGAGCTATGCCAGACTAAATTGGCCCTGTAAATACAGCAAGAGGAAAGGTGCTGTCTGGTGCTGTCACTGACAAATGTGCTACATCATGTCAAGATCCAAACCGTCCAAATGATATTCTCTGAAGGCAAATGCTGAACTTGTTAAAATGGGAATCTAATATATAGTCTGTTCGCTGTGGAGCTGAGGGGTTTGCCATATAAAATGGCCACAAGATAAATTATTCATGCTTTCTTCTGCCCTAGAATGTCAGTGATTGCTTTTCTTTTATCTTTGATACTCTCATTCAAATACAGTGAACCAGCCATACTGTTAACCCAGAATCATTTTGCAGGTGCAAAATAAGAAAGGGGAAGGTCCAGTGTTCTCAGTTATGAGAAAATGTCTTCATAATCGCATCCGTTTTGGAGCTTTTGAGCTTTTGTGGATTTCCATTTTAGACGTGCTGAAAGCTCTTCATCAGGAAAGAAGAGTGATTTGTATTAAGTGTATGGTATGACAAGAACAAGATTACTTTTGGGGTTGGACCAGCCAAACTGTACCCTTAGCTATGCTCCAGAAAGAAATACTGAGATCAGATGGGAATTATGCGTGCACTTTCCTACTTGGGTAGAATCTGTGCTTGTTATTTAATTGACAGATCAAGACATTTTCATATAAAGCTTATGAAATTGATTTTTTTTTTTTTTGTTAAATTTTAACTGAGGCCATTTGAAAAATGGTTTTTGTACAAAGGTAAGGTTAAAATAAAAAAGTTATATTCCAGCATCGCTTAAGATTAACGAGAGGTTACAATTTACCTTTGGTATAAAATCAGTTGATGTTTCAAAATGCATCATTTGGCTACCTCCAAAACCAGTTCTACATTGATGAATGATGAAATATTTCATTGTATTTTGAACTGCCAGCTCATCATCTGTGGACTGGGAAAAATCGATGTTAATGACTGGAAGGCAAACACCAGGTTAAAACACTGTACCCCAGACAGCAACATTGTGAAATGGTTCTGGAAAGCTGTGGAGTTCTTTGATGAAGAGAGGAGAGCGCGACTGCTCCAGTTTGTGACTGGCTCATCCCGAGTGCCTCTGCAGGGCTTCAAGGCACTACAAGGTAACTGCTCCGGAAGTAGCTGCAAATGCTTGTACTTGGAGGAAGCAATAGGACACATCCCAGAAACATTAGCTGAAAAAGAGGCTGGTTGGCTGGAAGGGTGATTTTTAATGGTCTGGTGAATAACAATCACAAATAGTGGGGTTTGTGTGTTTGTTTATCACCTTGTTATTCAGCTGTTCATAGTTCCTTTGTTTCGGTTTTGCACTTCCTTCTCTGGCAGGAAATTCTGATCGGTGGAGATCTTGGTGCTGTCCTTACAGCTTTTTTTCTAGAAGCCTGGTTTTTAATTTCAGTCTTTTACAAATCCCTGTCACCCATACAGCTCTGGGACCAGAACACACCGACATGCAGTCTTGTGATTCTGACAGCAGAGGCGCTTCAGCACTGACTACTTTTGTTGTAAGAGACATAGTCACAGGCAGCCCAGACATCAGAAGCAGTAACCTTAATTACTGGCCTGTCTTCTGAACTTTTCCTCAGAGCTCTGGGTATCTGTCATAGGAGCTCTGTTAACAGCATAGATACCCTGTTTAACCCTCTCACAAGATGAGAGAAAACTGCCCAGGGGAAACACTGATCACAAACCATCTTAACAGGTAGAAGGGACCATCAGAACACAAAAGCCAGTTGATCTAGAAATCTGTTTCCTCTTAATTATCCCTTCATTATCAGATAGAAGCCCTCATTTTCTTTTTCCTGAGCTCTAAAATGTTCAGGAGTACTAGAAGCTCAGAAATATTGGGGCTTTTAAGACCTTAGTTACTTTAAGCAAAGTGTGGTACTTGAAGTCATAAGTGTGTTGGACTTGTGTCAAACTGTGTACTTGTCTACCCTTGTCAGAACAGTTACAAGTAATACTAACCCTACTACTGATGTGTGCGCTGTTACTGTGCAGAGTGAGCTGTTTGGAGCAGGGTAATTGAAGTAATACCAGTTTAACACCATCTGCACAGCAAGTTTGGGTATGATTATTCTAGTAAAACATATTTCTGTGAGCAAACAAAGCCTGAACACAAAGGTTGTCATGGTTGGTATTGTGACTCCCTTATGGAATTTGATTGGAACTGGCTACTCCTCAAGTCCTGCTTTATAAAATGGGGACTGCATACATTTTGTTCTTCAGGAATGGTGAGAGAAGTTAAATTAAAAAGTGTAGAATTACATAGTGCACTGAGTAAACCAGGTGTTTTATTCCTCCCTATCAGTGCTTTGTTGTTGTTTATCTTGCAGTGATTTCAATAACTGCATGGTTATTGTGGGTGGGTGGAGGGGAGGAATCTCTGACAGACATGGTAAGTTTAAGGGTTTTCTTCTGCCTGTTTATGATTTCAGTTTTGTAGCTTCTCTCTTTTGTGGTTTTAGTTACTCTGTTGTTGCTGCAGTGCAGCAAAGACATTTCATATTATGCAACACGATAGCCGTAGAGGTCTTTTCTGGATTTTCAGGTGCTGCAGGCCCACGACTATTCACAATACACCAGATTGATGCCAGCACTAACAATTTGCCGAAAGCTCACACCTGGTAAGACTTTTTCAGGTCTTTTTGTTGTGATCTGTAGATCAAGGCCAATTTATTGTCTCCAGAAATTTCTTTCTTCCCCTCCTTTTCTGACATAATAAATGCTCTCCAATTAGAGTAGTAAAGATGTGACAAGTAGAGATTGCTTTTATTTAGATGAAGCTCTGGCCTTGCTAAGCGTTGCTTTGCCGTTGTTTCCAGTATAACAACTTTGCCAGGTGATGCTTTAAGTTCCCAGTAACTGAACCTTTCCTGCTGTCTTTCCACAGCTTTAACCGAATAGACATTCCTCCTTATGAAAGCTATGACAAGTTGTATGAGAAGCTGCTAACTGCCATTGAAGAAACATGTGGGTTTGCTGTGGAATGACCCTTCACAGCCTTACCTGAGACTCTATTTATACGCCTGTCAGCCGGAAAGCCCTTCCCTCAGCCAAGACTCAAGAAATGCTTGAAATACAGGAAAACTTTCCCTTTTCTACACTCGGACACTGGGAGGGAAAGGACAACTTTGGAATTTTTGTTTTTATTTTTAATTTTTTTTTTAATTCAAGAAAATAGGTTCTGTGGTTCCTGCCACAGGATCATTCAGCTGCTATTAAAAACTAATATCTTGAACATACAGAATGCTGACTTTTCCTACATTTCAACAGTTAAGCAGTATTCTATACTTAAAGACTACTACTATTTTTGTAAAAGGTAATCTATTATATTTGCCTACCTGATTTCTATTCTCAGATACCAAGACACAACTTCAGCAGTCGGTACAAGTCACGTTTCAGCCTCTTTTAAATGTATGATACTGAACAGCATCTATACCTGCTATTTTTGGAGAAAAAACCCTATTTTGGATTATTCTAACTTTGCATAAAATTGGCTGAAAGAATCATTAATCTTTTTAATTAAAGCCACTTACATGTTAACTGCATTTTCTTACAGTAAAACATTATATTCTGCAATGTAAATTCAACGTAAATGTTACCACAGGGGGCTTTTTTGTATTTTTTTCAAGCATGAATTACAAATATGATGTTTTGGGGTCCTATTTATATCACTTGTCAGATTCCTTAAGGTTTCTAGTGTGAGTGACACATGCTGGATCTGGTACAGCACTTGTGTTGCCACGTGGAATAGACCTTTTTTAATGAACAGTAAATGTTTTGATTTTTTTTAAACCAGCATTTTTCTAACAAGTCTGTCAAGAGTATTTTTTTGTTGCTTTTGACTTTAAACACTGCGTTTTTCAACTTTTTAAGCATGCTGATGAGGTGGTGTTTGACAGCAGGAGCCTGTCAGCTGTTTGTTTCAGAACCCATCCTGTCCAGTCAACCAAAGTTTGTTTGAATGCAGCCAAATCGCATTATATATTTGTTGATGCTAAAGATTTATCAGGTAAAACATGTTGTAATCTTTGTCCAGCTGCTCATGACACTTGGGTTTAAGTTACAACTAAGGAAAAATGGTGTATTAACTGAAATGTGTGTAATGTGCTTCGGAAAATGAGGTTTTAAAAGCACATAATTTATTGATTGTAGGGATGGAAGTAAGTATATATATGAATTATAACATGGGTTGATCTCTTCAAAGGGGAATAAAATGCACTACCAGTAGAGGGAACTGAACTTTGAAGTTAGTGTGGAAATTCTCAGTTAAAATCTGTATGATCTGCTCACGGTGTGTCGATAAATCAGTCTGCTTAAGAGGTGGTGGCATTCTCCTCTCAGTGGTGCAAATATCTGGAGTAGGGAGCATGGTTTTTTTCCAATCAGTGTTGTGTTTTTGTAACTTAGGTTACAATTAATCATCAGATCTGCACTATTTTTACACTGCCAATGAGAAGGGTATTGAAAATGCTGAAAGAATGGGATGTAAAAAGCTGTTCCATTTTTGCAGTGGAAGTCACACAGTGAACTGGCTAATTTTCTGTCTGTTCTATGGAGCTTGAACTTAACTTTGTTCTGCCAAATCTGACTGCCACAGTGAGTAAACTACTACTGGATGTTGTGTATTAGAATAGCAGGCAATGGACTACTTTTGTAGAATTGTGGTAAGAGCCAAATCCACATGTTCATTTGATTATTTTATTTTTATACAGCTGTTGCTGGAAGGTTTGTTCTGAGAGACTTGCTTCCCATTTGGGGCTGGCTGCAGAGATGAGGCTACTTAGGGATGCAAACGTAAAGCCAAGAAACTTGTTTTGACAGCCAGATTTGAAATATATCAGACCCTTTTTTATCTTCATTTCAAGGGACTGTTGCACTCATGGCTTGTACTTTGGCATCTGCAGCTGGGGTCCCTTCAGGTAATGCTGTTACCAGAGAAGCTACAACTACATCTCTTGGGGTTGCCTGGGAGAGCAAAGTAGTTGTTGTGCAGCATGTTCCTTACTCAGAGCTGCTGCTGGTGGCTGGGGACCACTGCTTTGGACACTCCCAAAGACCTCGTCCTGCCTGCTGCAAGGTTTTGAGATGTGTGAGTTCCTATTCACAGAGACTCTACAGAGACAGGTTCTTTAACCACTGCTCACAGGATACTCCAGGGTTTTGTAAGTGATTTTTGGGGGGTTTTGTTTTCTATTTTTCCCTCCCTGCTGTTGCTCAGGCTGTGGCTGCAGCCTCCTTGGGCATAAAACATCCGATTTGATCCAGGTTTTGGGAGACGTCAGGATGCTGTAGGTGATTCAAGGGGGAGGTTATGCTGCTGCTCCCTGTGCACCAGACAGCTCACCTCAGTGCTATCTAAAGACTGTCTCTGTAGTGGCTCCTAACCCATCATCCTCACCCACATCCCAGGAACCTTCTGCCCTTCAGCCTGCTTAGGCTGGTAAATATATTGAATGCCTGGTTATGGCCACCCTTATGTCATAAAAGCATTTTTGAGGAGGGAGGAGATGAGCTCTGCAGAACGTAGACTAGATCAGCTGATGAACACCATTCATTTTCACAGCAGCCTTAGCAGTACATCTGTTTGTTCTACCAAACATTTTGGTTTGGCGTAGGGAAATTTTTTTAACTGCCACAGATGAATACTGTAAATTTAATATATTATAGGCAAACCTAGACAAATCTACATTTGACTTCCATAGCTGACAGATGAGGATGATCATACCAAGTATTTTGAGTGCCTTTCTACCTTCATAATGACTGAGAGCTTTAACTAAAGCACCTCATCACCTAGTCAGGTGTTTATCTGAAAATGTTAAAGGGTTGATTCCTTTGCAAAATTTAGTTTCAAGGTCATGTCAGCTACTTTCCCCTCAAAAAGGTGCTAAGCCTAATATTGCATTTTAACCTTGGACTTTCACCCCATGATTAATGTGAATATTTATTTCAATGTGTCCCTCTTACTGGGTTTTACTTTATGCAGTCTTTAGTTGTTTTAGAGAGATGTCACATCATGGTTTTATGCTGTTGCTTTTCATGATGAATGTTTAATTATGAACAGTGACTTTTGTAGATTTCAAATATACAGTACACAGGTGAGTTTCAGAGGATTTAATTTCTCGGTGTAAAGAGTTTTGTAATGGTGCTTTGTACAGTATGTATTCTAATCTTTTGGGGTTTTTTTTTTTTGCACATAGTTTCAGTTTCCCTGAACTGATTTTATTTGTACCAAATTTTTGTGTTGTACTAAAGTCCAGAACACACAACCCATTTTTAAATCCTTGTTCTACAACACTACATCTGTATTCAACTTCTGGTGCGTTTAAACTGGCTGCATTGATGGAAGTAAAGCTTTGCTTCTCTATCATAAGTATGCATCATACAGCTTAATGTAGCATGCTCCGACTGCTTCAGATTTTAAACAGCACCATATAGTTAACAGGTGCCATTTGTTGTACTTTACACTATGTAGTAGGTTTCTGGCTCTGCCACATCCTCAGAGCTTCGTCTGTAGTTGTAATTAGTTTATACAAGTGTAATTACTCCTCCACAAACTGACAGTTCTTAGTTTATCATTTCCATTGTATTTATTACAGAGTGTTTTAGCATTGGTATCATTGTATTTTCACCCAGCTGTTACATGAGCTTTAACAAAAAAAAATCTGTATAAAATGGTTTTTAAGTACTTAATGTATGTACCCATGCAGAAGTTGAGCAATAAATTGTATGCTGTTTGCACTGTCACAGCATCAATGGTTTTAAAAGTTTTAAGTTTTTCTTAATTATTTCCTTTAAAATGTAACAGTATCATTTTTAAGTAACTCAGATTTGTTTCAGAAGAAAATACTTAAAACTTGATGTCTTGCTGTGTGCTGTTACCTGCAGTCAGGATTGTGCTAAGTATGCTAGTCAAACACAATCATCTTTTGGCTTTCATGTAGTGGTGTACATGTGACATGGCAAGGACTTTATCTCAGCTTTGGTGAACAGATGTCTCCTCTCAAAACTCAGCAAAGCTAAACCCATCTTCCTTAAGGGAAGAAGAAAGGTAAATACATTTGGTAAATAGTTGTTAAATTTGATTAACTTAGCTGGTAAATATTGTCCCTTAGATAAAGGCTTTGACTTAGCTTGGCTTAGAGCAACTCCCTGGAAATGGTTGTTAAGAAACTCAGGGTGTGGGTTTCTGGAGGATTGTTGTTGTGTGGTTTTTAAGTGAGGCATTTTGTGCTCTAACCGCTGCCTGTTTCATTTAATGTGGAAAGGAAGCATCTCAGCTGCTGGGGGCTTTTTTCCTGCTTAGCTTTTTTTCTTCCAGTGCATGAGTCTTAATTCACCAAATATATTATGAATTCCAAAAGAGACACCAGCGCATGGTAAGCTTTAAGTATTGTATAGATGATGCAATTAATTCCAGTCTTTTTATATCACTCCTCACACCTGCAATTTTAAGCAAGAAGAACTCTTCACTCCATTCTGAAAGAGATCATTTGAAACAAAACTTGACTTGTTTACACATGGGTTGATGTAGTTTTGCGAACTCTGTGTGAAATCCAACAACTGAAGTGCCTACAGAGCCTACAACTACCAGTGTTTCAGTTCCCACAGAAGCTTGTATTTTACTGCTTTAGAAGAATTTTCATTGTTTTCTATTTCAAACTACTTTTTCAATACATGTGTAGCATACAAGTAGTACTTCATGTGCTTTGCCATTAACAAGCCAGCAATACCAAACAATAGTTTTGTGTAGAATAGCCCTCCCTTGCTTAGTATACTTAAATTACTGATTTTTCAGCAGATATATTGCAGGCATTCTCTAACTTGTCCTTTCAGAGGACACTTGATCCACTGATGTTCTTTTAAAGATCTCCTTTTTCTTTCCAATCCAGTAATTTGTGGCTAATGAAGTTAATGTGGCTTTTCAACTCCAGCAACAACAGAACCAGCCCAAGCATAGAGGAGACAGCATTTAACTGTTCCACAAAGA